TAGTTGAGTGAGCAACGTGACTGACTATTCCCACCTCTCGTTCCTACTAAAACTCCTGTGAAGCCAGGATCTACAGCTTGACCGCCAACAAAAACCCAAGCAGTGAAGGCCAAGTTTGTCCCGGGGGAAAGCTAAACTGTCATTGGACCCGTAACGAATTTAATCAGAAGAACATAGGAGTTCGAAGTTAAGGTTCGATTTCCTTCCAGTGCAAAACCGATGACAGGTAACAAAAACAAATATTAGGTATGCATAACGATATAGCAACTATCCGAATTTAGTTAATTTTAACCTCTGTCTTCTACATCATCAGTTCATGCAGGACCTCCCTCTTTAATTTATCAGAGTCAAATGGAGGATTTGGCGTAGACTCCCTAAGTCCCCACTCTGGCTAGACAGGTTGGGGATGCCTGATGTTAATTTTAGATTTTACTCAATTCTAGCCATTATTATCATTAAAATTGTGCATATCAATACTCGTGGGACTCTAACAGATAAGATAGCAACCAATAACAATGGTTGGCAAGTATTGATTAATCACAGCACAATTATACAGAGCAAAGTGCAGCTTATGTAGATTAATAATCTATTAAATTTTTCTAACTTGGAAATATTCCGTGCGTTAAATAGAATTCACGGTTAGTGCTGAAAGTACAATTTCTTACAAGAATTATGATATTTAATTTTTACCCCTTTATTAATAAAAGTTACACACTAGTTGAACTCTGGATTAAATTTTCATTTAGTTTGGAAATATCATTTTAACCCAGTGTTCATCATGGGTATAACTTTTTATTAATGGGGGTTAGAGAACTAATTGACAGTCAGTCTAAACGATTTTCACAAGGCATCTGAAGCTGTAAAGTATTGATAAAGCATTCGAATTTAAGGTAATAATGTTTTTGTTTCTTTTACATTACATTAAGAATTTTCGAGATTGTCTAACTCTAAATTGACACTTGCCTGACTCCTTCATATACATAAGATATCATTGAGACGACCCTCCATGTCTCCTGCTCGTCAACTTCCACTGTTATCGTCATTTTTGCGTTTGTATCTTTTTTATTACATTACGAAAAGACACTTCACTGACACTGCCACATTTTTTTCACTGACATTAACTTTTTCTTCACATCTTATTGACGTCACTGCGTTAATTCCGATGAAAATGACAATTTTGGTGTGAATTCACATGAAAGGTTAGAAAAACGCGTGCAAACTCCGCGACGATGGAAAAACAAACTGATTAATAAATGGCACGTAGATTATAATCACCGTGCGACAGATAAACTGATAAATAAACGCAAACTTACCATTATATCCGTTCTATTGTTTGATGTACGCATTTTTGTATACCATGCATGTAACCATTTATGTAACAGCGTGTTTCCGGATGGAAAGTAACTGAATATGCACATAATTCATCATAATGCAGTTAACTAAATTAATTTTACGAAAATAGATATTTAAAAGTAAGTAAATAAGTAAACAAGGTGATCATAATGGTGGTGACTGGTAGAAGTAGGCATCAATCTACAAAAATCCAATTTTTACGTCTGACTAAATTTTACTTCATTGGTACACGTAATATGAATAGTATTATGCGTATCAAATTACCGATTGGTACAAATTAAAAATTCAAATTAGTCGATCTTCTGTCGATACAAAAAGCGAATATTCATGAGTAATTGTAATTAAAATAGCATACCGAGACAATAAAATGTTTAAAATTATTTCAATACAACATTCCAACCAATGCTAATGATCAGATATGAATAAAGTGGTCCAGTTTTAACTGATTTATGTTGCCAAGGTTAACAAAATGCAGAGGTGTTGCCGTGCTCGCAGTCTAGCCAGATAGTTCTCAAGCTAATAAATCAGTCAAATCTAACGCTAAACAGACTCAAACAACTGGTCTAGGAACAATTTATGTACTGACCGTACAGTTTAATAGGAAAATTCCGCTACCAAACGTTTATGAGAGTACGAGAGAAGAATATGTTTAGAAAATGCGTCGTAGAGGCGGTGATCATTCACAAAGTCAATGATTTGACGTCAGGTGTGACAAAAATTCAACAAAAAGCAACTGGATGAATCATAAACAACAGTCAGGCAAATATTTCCATATCAATAATGTTATATTATTATCATAGAAAGTGACATGAATAGTCTGACTCGAATTAGCAGGCTAACTTTGAATCCAACTCAAACTAAATTAAGAAAGAAATTTAGCATGTAGGACAGAGGTGAAAGAATCTTTGACAAACGACAAAACAATAGGTTTATTGAATTGTCAATATTTAACCTAAGAAAGTGTCAGTTTCTACATATAAATACTGTGAGAAATAACGAAATTTTTCTATAGATGGATCCTTTAATTAATACTCTTCGATTTTATTTTGGTGTTGATGACATTAATGATACAACAATCAATTATGTCACACCTTGAGTTAAATGTCATTACCATCAAGTTTGTCGGAATAGTAATAAAACTGTCGTCTCCTTGCCAAAAGGTTTATGAGAACAGCGTGGATCCACGCCACAATACGCGATAACAATAAAAATTTATAACGCTGCCTTGGCTTAATTATCGTATTTAATATGCCAAGGAATAAACTTATACTACCTAGTATCTACATAATTTCCAATGTCGCGGCGCATTTTTCGAATTAAGTAGAGTATGGTTTAATTAAATATTTTTTTTCCAAGGCAAACGCAATGTGTCATACCTAGATGCAACACCAAAACTTCATGATGTCCTTGATATTGAATTCGTTTGATAAGCATCACACGTAACTGTCAGTAGACACATATTCGGAATGTTCCCCAATCTTCTTTAAATGCGGGGATTTGACCTAAGGGTGCCATAGGTTCTGTAAGGATGCTCTTAGTGTGTTTCAAAGTCGAATTAACTTAGAAGAAGATGATTTGATCTGGACTGCAACTTGTTCATGATGACACATGAATGATGTGGTTTCTACACAAACCTTGGCAATCGTTCGTATCAGCCAAATGACGTTCACTGCTGGACAAAGGCCTCTGCCAAGGATTTCCACATCCAGCTGTTTGTGCTCAGCCCAGCAGCCTGCATCGAGGTGTTTCATCAGATCGTCGGTCCATTCATAGTGTATGATCATAGCTGGGCATTAACTCGTTAATCCGTTAATCGTTAATTAACGAAGTTAACATTTCTGTTAACGGATTAACTTTTAAGTTAACTTTAAAAAATGTTAACGGACTCGTTAACTTCCGTTAAATTACCCTAAGTCCGTTAATCGTTAATCCAGTACCTACTATTTACCAAAAAGATACAGCAGGCACGCTGAAAAACACTAGAATAAAAATTAGCCAAGTGCGTGTCGTGCCACGCGCAGTGTAGGGTCCCGTAGTTGTCCGTCATTAACACAATATTATTTCAGAAGCAAGCAATTACTTCAACTAAAGTCACTTTTAATATTTTCTTCTAAGGAATTTTATAATACATGAGTTAAATGACTATTACTCTTAATCTAACTGATGTATCTTATGATATAATCATGAAAAGCAGTATCGTTACGAATTTTTCTAGATTTTTAAAGAAAACAGTAGTTTTTAGAGGATGGGGACGCCCTACTCGAACAAAAATTGTAACAAAATATTTAAGTTTAACTTAAATATTTTGCAAACCGATCCCTTAAACGAAAAATGTTATGGTACCATTAAGCTGGTCTGATGAGGGAGTCAGGAGGTGGCCATAGGAACTCCTAAATGAAACGGCGGCATCGCATCGAATTTGGGTTCGTTGGATTTGTCTTAGTACTAGACAGGACAAGTTAGTACTAGATGATGTCCAGGCAGTAGCGGCGTAAGGGGGGGGCGGTGGGGCGGTCCGCCCCGGGTGCCAAGCATCAGGGGGTGACACAAGTCGCGCAGATTAGTACTCACTGGCGCATCTGCATGGCAAATCTGCGGTGTATGTCATGATACGNGATGGAGTCAGGAGATGGCCATAGGAATTCCTAAACGAAACGGTGGAAACTTATCGAGTTTGGGTTTGTTGGATTTGTCTTTTCGAGCACTTTGGTGCTAAATTGTATTATAATTGAACCAAGGCTCTGAGATTGAGATACTATACACTAAGAGCTGGTGAACGTCAGACCTACGTCATTTTATAAAAGCTGAAAGTTTGTCAGCGTATGCTCCCAATATAGGTTAGAATGTTGGTGGATTATGAAGTTTGGGTCATCGTTGCTTTGGCAGCTATCCTAAAAAAACTGTCTGGCAAGGAGTTGGAACTGTCAAAACTGTGTGGCTGATGTCGAAACAACTTCTAATCATTGCCCAAATATTATACATAAAAATCAGATTTTATGGTATAACGTAAGTAGAATTAGTCTATTGAATATACAGTAAAAGCCACCGTAAAAGTTAGGCTTACGTTATAGGTACCATAAAAGCTGATTTGCTTCCGAAATTATTTGAACCTTGCATACAATTACTTTTTTCGTTTTAAACATGTGTTAACGGATTAACGATTAACGTTAACTTGCGTTAAATCTTGCTAAATGTAACGTTTTAACGTTTAACGAAGTTAATTTTTTTATTAACGGTTTAACGATTAACGAAGTTAACCATTTGATTAACGGTGCCCAGCTATGTGTATGATAGATAACTATGAATAGGCTAGTTGCCTAAAAAAATTTTTTTAGTCCGTAATGTTTAATATCAAAAAATATTGGACACATATATTTTTATTTGTCAATCTAACAAATAATTACATAGTTATGGTGCGTTGAAGTTGCGCACGACGTCACAACGTGCAGCATTTTTAAGCAAGCGTTGACGTCACGGGCCTCTTCTTATGAACTTTGGGGCGCTTTATCTCTTTAAATTTTCATTAGTTTGAAAAAGTGAAAAATACGTGTAGAGTATTTTTTGATAAGTTAACTGACGGACTAATTAAAACTCTTGCTTTTTGACCCAGGCAACATCCCCATTACTCCAATTAATGATAATGGTACTCACTTATCATGTTTGGTGCGGGGGTGAGGCTCGAGTTGCAGCGGGGTGGCGGGGGCGGAGCGCGGGGCCCCGCACCCGCCACCCGCCGCTCCCGCTGCGAAGTTCCCGGTTGACCTGCAACAACCAGACACAATGTTGAGCGACTTTTTTGAAGAAATACCCTTGAGTGTATTATCTGTATATTTTATGCAGTACAGGTTAGTGTCCGTGACTCCCACACAAAACCAGGGTCGTGGCCTTCCTCACCGGGGGCCACGGCATATGCGATGGGCATCGCTGTACCTCTGTCTTGTTTGCTTTTTTTATTCTCTTTTGTCTTTTGTGATGTCCATGGCAATAAATGTTTCTTTCTTTCTATCGAGGGGAGGGGGGCAGGGGATCTTTTGGATAATTTCGTAGCCAAATTTCATGGCCAGAAGCCAGCATCGAAATAGGATTTTTTCCCCACTTCGTCCCACAGTCCACACGTCGTAGCCAGCCACGAAATATTTCTACGCAATGATCCAAATCTTTTAATTAAGAGCTGGTGACCCCTAAAATATCTGATTTGCCCCCTGGACCAGACTTTCCCATGGAACTACTTAATAATAAACTCCTCTAAGGTCTTGCAACGGAACTGCTTCTTTTGACAACGGATCAAAGATTGGAATTCCACTAATGACAAGGTTATTTAAAAAATCTGATTCAAAATATTGCCACCTCTAACCAATTTCACATCGATAACATTGTAAGACTACTTAATAAAATATGTTTTTTACGATTTTTTTACTGAAACTTAACTAGATGTAGATAGTAGATAGGTGAATCCATAACAAAGGACAATTTATTATAATTATACATTGTTACAAATTGATGGCTAAACAATTATGTACCTATACTATACTTAACGCCTGGCGCGATGTAGTAATTAGCTCTCATGCAGCCACGTGTACGTGAATTTATTGCAGAATAACCATTAAAAAAGTCATAACTTTGTGCAGTCTTACAAATACTAAGTACCTTTTAGAAAACCTCTGACTCTTTCGTCTCACAAACATCGATTGATGATGAGCCGTCACATACCCTGGCTGTCCATTTTTATGAATAACTTTGGAACTCTTGGTCATTGCAATCAAAATAAAACACAAAAAAAACAAAAAACAAACGAAGAACAAAGCTGAAACCAAATTTCTACACACTTCGGAACAAAAGAAAGTCTAATAAAATTATTGGAAGACGTATCAACACAAAATAAAACAATTTATGAACGCACGTGTTCATCAATCACTATACAAAAACAAAGATTGAACACAAATACTAATAATAATCATAATCACGAGACTATCTCACAAGCAAGTTACTGCTGAAACTGACGCACAACATAAAGATAATACATTTGTACAAACAAAAATGTATGTGGCACTGAGGTCAGCTAGTATTTATCGTTTTTTTACCTATCATAATGTTCGTTGACGTCGATTCAAATATAGCTATCGTGTTACTAGTTTTCAAATGTTTGCATCAGCTCCATTGCATTGACAGTAATTTGCTTACTTTCAATAGAATTTCTCTCGAATTAAACTTAAATCAGATTCAGCTATTGCGACCATTTAAAGCATCAAATATCTTCTTTTTTTTTCCTATTTTTATGTTTTGCCTTGTTTGAGTACAATGTAACTAGTATTTAGACACGTGTAAAATAATTAATAAAAAGTAAAAAATATGCATGCATGTCACGAAGATCAGTTTGTACTTTGTATGTTAAGTGATAGTTTAACAAATAAATGACGTTTGTTAAACGTCATCATCATCAGCCAAAGGGATCCACTGCTGACCATAGGCCTCCCCCAATGACTTCCACGTCGCATGGTTGAAGAACAAATGAATGACGTTTAATAAAATAAAAAATACATTACCAGAAGGAAAACAAATGACACGTGTTCATAGGCTCTGACCTCGAAAACCATCGGCCCTATTCTAATTAAGTCTCAACAAAAGAGTGGTCCCGCGTCCAGTGACGTAAGAGTTCACCTCATTATTCTAGCTGTTCAAGTGGTACTTGTGTTGAAGGGAACTGGAAATTGGTAGGAAATAAGATATAATTGGTTCACAATTTAGGTCAGGTTCAATTAGATGATTCTTTTTTTTTACTCGTGATTACTAATGAGGGATCTTGTTAGGGATTCTCATAAATTCTTAAAGGTAAATCACTCGTTTTATGCTCTCCAAAGACTAAACTGAAGGACACTGATGAATAGGTCGATAAAATATACCGAATACCGATATCAAATTAATCGAGAACGACTGATAGTTACATGGATAGAATAATACTCAGACTCAACATTTCCAATAACATTGCACGAAGTGTTTACCTTTAGAATGTGGTACAGTCGACCGCATATCAGACTGTACTTTTGTTTCCAATTTTCACCTAATTACAACTGCATAGGAGGCTAGGAGGCATGGATGTTACCTTGATGTGACGTCGTCAATACAATCAGAATAATTGTACAAAAGTTAGGAGACCATCAATAAAGTAGAATAAATTTTCCAAGGAGTACGGCTTTGAAAGCCATCATTTCCATTACAAATGACTAATAACACGATGGAAATGAACTGATGAGAATTAATATTAACAGGAATGTTGTTATGACAACATCGACTTCATTACCCAAATGGCACCTACAAAGTTCTAAAGAGAACAAACAATAATATCCTTGGGAACATCCAAGGTCACGCCTTTTGTTGTAATTGCCAAGGGTTCCGGGACTGTAACAAAGAGTTTGCTGGTAATAAAGTTGGCTTAAGAGATAAATGCGCGAAACCAATTTACCTATTGATTAATCAATATGATAACATAACATACAATACGTAAACGTAACGTAAACGCAATGTGGATTACCTACTCATTTTCTATGAACCACAAACCTATTTCAGCGAAGACTCTATCGTCATTGATATATCAATATTAAATCATTTTTAGACTTATCTGGGATTAAGAATCAGGCCAGGCAATCCACAAAATTTTATACGCGTGCCGTTATGTTGGTGAGTAAATTTATACGGTTTTAAATACTGCTATACCCAGAACCGTACTAAACTCTGAGAATCTTGGCTAGTAAAAATAAACCGCTTGGCGCCTGCTAGTCTGACTAAACGTTCTAGCCGTGGTTTGTTTCCAAACACATTAATAAATCTAGACCAACGTTGGTGAAGCTGACCGTAAAACAAAATATTTGGCTTACTTTTCTAGCAAAGAAAATATTAAGGTATCTAGCACCTTCGCACCGCCATCGTTTGTATTAAAATCAATGGAAGCAAGACAGTGAAAAGGCCAAGGCCGCAAATGACGTGGAAAATTGAATAAAATGCAACTTCATGTCAATGTTATCGAAAACATGTTTAGTGTTCGAAGTTGTTTGAAATTTTATTGAATTTTCGTTACCAAGTAGTTCAGACTATAAATTCTACTAAATGCGGGGAATTATAATTTATAACTGATTATTAGGACCAATTCACAGTCAATATAACCGAATTTTGTGAGAAGACGCTAACATCCACTAGAGAGATAAACTCTACTGTCTTTCTAGGTATTACCCTAGACTGTAAATTACAATGGGGCCCCCATATTGCTGCCTTGGCGGGAAGACTTAGTTCAGCTGCCTTTGCGGTGAGAAAGATCAGAAACTTGACTGATGTTGAAACAGCAAGGCTTGTATATTTTAGTTATTTTCATAGTATTATGTCTTATGGTCTTTTACTGTGGGGCTCAGCAGCAGACATAGAATCAATTTTCATTTTACAGAAAAGAGCTGTTCGGGCAATATACGGTCTTAAACCACGTGACTCGCTTAGAGAAGTTTTTAAAGAAATCAATATATTGACTGTGGCTTCGCAATACATATTTGATAACATTATGTATGTCCGTAAACATATACATTTATTTACTAAGAAAAGTGACGTCCACTCATTTAACACGAGACATAAGAATAAACTTGCTGTTCCATCATTTAGGTTGCATAAGATAGGTAATTCATTCTTGGGGAAATGTATTACCATATTTAACAAAATACCACACAACCTTGTCGAATTGCCAATAAACAAATTTAAGATACATATAAAAAATACCCTTATGTCCAAAGGGTACTACAAGGTTCGAGACTATATTGATGACAAGGATGCGTGGTCAGTTCAGTCTGCACATATTTGATGTACTTAAATTTGACTATTCTTACCGTTAGATAATTCCTGGCAATAAGTGGTGACTGAGTTTGTTCCGGCGTTTCTTCTCAGCACTTGCCATATGTTTGTCTCGAAGCGCTGGTAGGGCCCAAAAGATAAGGAGACATGTAAAGTGCCCCATAAGGGCTACCTTTTCTTTTTTTATTATTTTCTATTGACGTTCATAAGTGCCACTTGTGGTCTAAACTGAATAAATATTTTTTGATTTTGATTTTGATTTTGATTTTGTTGAATCGAGTTTTTGCTCATTGTTTTAATATGCTCCTAGAGAAAGAAAATAATTCAGAGCTACAATTAAACATCAAGTTCTAACAAATCGTACAATTACCCTTTGTTGAATTGTCTTTTCCTGTCGCACTTCGCTCCTTACCTCTTCCGGTAGTTAACAAGTTACACTGACAACTAATGCAGGTTAAACTGCATAACCTTTCATAACATTACGATTGGTGTTTAGCGGAATTCTCATATTTAACCGAGGGAATACGACCCTGTTTATAAAATAATCAAATGTAACATTGTGTGTGACATGTCACTCATTCTGTGAGCTGAAGTAAAAGCAATCGGTCTATGATGAGGAAACTTGTAGTCTTAATCGCGTTGCTTCTAAAATTATCTTGTGTCCAAAATGTAAGAAGATGAACATTTTAGTAGCACAGAATTTGTTCAACATTCTAATACAGTTCTCAAATTCTAGAGAATGTTATCGTTCAATTACGTAACGCTGCCGACATACGTAGAAGAACCGGAACCGACTCCAGAAGAACACGAGAACGAAAAAGTTGTCGCTCTGAAAGATTACGACGATATGGACCCAGAAGAATATAGCATTAAGAGTAAACAATTTGTTGAAAGAACTAAGAAGGTAAGACCAAGTGACGGTGTATTGTGGTGATCAGGGAAAACAGAAACAGGTTGTAATGTTTATTTTACTTTTAGCCGTGTGCAATAGTCGTGCTATCGAATATGCAAAATCCGAGCATGCAGTCTCTTCTGCGCAAATATAGATACGATGCCAATGGTAAGTGATATTTTTTTCATTTACTTAGTCTTCTTTTCTTAAATTTATTTTCTATCCAATAAAAAAAATTGTTATTTTTTTTACTATCACAATTTCAGCTTTTTATGTATAGAGCTAAATAACTGTTGTAATGGTTTAAAAACAAGATCTTTTACAACATTAATAACGAACAAAAGACAGTTAATGCTATATCAATTTATAGACAAACTAGCTTTCCGCCCGCGGCTTCGCCCGCGTGGAATTTTGTCTGTCACAGAAAAACTTTATCGCGCGCGTCCCTGTTTCAAAAACCGGGATAAAAACTATCCTATGTTCTTTCCCGGGACTCAAACTATCTCTATGCCAAATTTCATCAAAATCGGTTGCGAGGTTTAAGCGGGAAAGCGTAACAGACAGACAGACAGACAGACAGACAGACAGACAGACAGACAGACAGAGTTACTTTCGCATTTATAATATTAGTTGGGATGACAGTGACATCTATCACCTTTCACCTTGTTTTTTTTGCAGGTGTGCTCATCCCAAGCAGCGTGAAGTACTTCATCAAGCTACCACAGGGTCTGCGGTCCTCACCACTACTGGTGCCTCTGAACGATAAAGCCTTTTCTCCACAAGGAGGATTTGTCAGGTAAGAATTTATTTTTTATTGGAAAAATGTAGTTCTACAAAAACTTTTACACATAAGCGCGATAAGCCTAGTGATTCTTCAATGCTATTGCTATTCAAGTTTTGACATTTTTATGAAATAGGTACATCTGATATTTTTTCCGATGCAGGTGGTACATTATTTTTTTATTGGATGTATAAACTTTTATACCCAAGATAAGATAATCTTTGTGACAGACATGTCAACAAATCGGCGCAGGTGTTCAAATGCCGAGATAAACATTTATTTAAGGGTTATCTAGTTAGATAGATAAATGATTATATTGATAAAAATTGTAGTGTCTGCCTCTTAGTTGTGCTCTTAGTCATCGTCTGAATTAGATTTACTCATAGGAATAAAAAAACACCAAACATACGCAAGAATATAAATATTTTTATTTTAACTTTACGATAAGGTGTCATTTATTTCTTTTTTGATGAGCCAAAAATTCATCTTGAATTTGTTAAAGTTTTTAATCCGTATTTTTTGTTAACAGGTATTACAAAGAAGTTCCACCAATACCGCATTCGTTTTAAACTTTTCCTTTATTGTTTTATATTGAACCGGCGGAAATATATTTAGCTGTGAATATAAGTTGATTAATTATATGAGCAAAAGCCTTCCTTTTTTCACCCGAATTAAAATGAGCAAATCACTTCACGGAAAGCCATACGTAAAAGCTTTATTCATACGCCAAAATTTTTCCTCGTGTTCCCGAAAAACGAGGCATTTTCCAAACAGCTCCTCGTGATTTTGACTAACATGAATTTAAAAGTAGTTTCTGTAGAATTTCATGTTCATGAACATACTTACCGTTAATTCTACTTAATGGGAGTATTATCGTCAGTAAATCTTTTACTCGTTTTCCAGCATAAGAAACGATGGACTTTCAAAATTAAATAATGTTTCTTTTCGATGCAAACCAGGCTAGTACTCATTTTGCAATTTACCTATCACTGCTTCCTAGTAAAAATACTGTACGTAACCTCCTTGCTTTCGTTTTAAAAACTTACACGATCCTCATCGCCTTGAAACTAAATAGCCTTTTTTACATGAAGGTTAATTCAAAAGTAGAGAGAAATGATAAACGGGTGTGTGGTTGGTGATTTCAAGTCTGACACATACTAACTACAGTAACAAACCACACGATACAAAAAGAACAAGGTTTATTTGTTGCATAAACGCAACAAAATCAAAGGAACAAATTGCCCAGGACGTAGATTTAGCTCTCCTTTGCATATTTATATCTGGAACATTCATTAGGTAGATACGTCATCGGAACTATTATAGCTAGGGGCATTGACAGAGACAATGTGTCCATTTATAGAGCAAAGCGAGATCCTAGTGGTGTTTTAACGACGCAGTCTACTTTCGAGCCAAAGACAAAATTTTGGAAACTTGCCAACTTCCATACGCGCTGTCATGTGCTTAAGTGACAACACTGACAACTAAAGCATAGACGCATCTCTACAAATGAATTATAATTTCGATCAGGGCAAGAACTTCCCTGTTGTAAGTAAAAAAAACAACTAACAAGTTGCCTACATTGTATAACAAAAAATTAAATAATATTAATATATCATGCTGGTGCTTTATACAATTACGAATTAACTGCCAACCGTCGAGAAATTAGGATAATGTGCTCAAGGCGTGTGGTAGCAAGAGAATGGAAGTTTTTCCCATTAGCAATGCGCAGAAAAACTTAGGAAGAAATAGGACCTTAAGAAACAAAAAACTTACTTTTGCTGGGATAGAAGCGCACCGGTATAATTTTAGACGACATTATCAATAATTTTAGACGAAAAAAAATAGGTATGTCTGGATTTATCCCGTAAAATCGATAAAATGGAGCGATAAAAGCTTATCTACTTATTTTTTCTACTGATGACAATACTGATCGACATCTCCAAGGTCACACTATTAATGCACGTTTTCAGTCTATGCTTTTTTCGTCACCTCGAGTTCTATAACGGGCGACAAAATATTGTCCAGCCGTCCGATTTTGGGAGGGCCTACAACCTACATCGGTATCAAAGGACCGCCTCACAAATCGTCTCAGTATAATTCAACTGGATATTAGTCACGTTTAAATATTACAGAGACCTTGGCTTGGGCGTCAACGATGTGGTGATACCTACTATAATTTAACTAAGAAAATAAGTCACGTACCTACCATATAAAATGCGTTAAGACACACACACAAAGATGGTTTTAACGTTTTAGTGTGTCATGACTGGGCTATAAAAAGTTCAAATAGTTTACTTACACTACGTCATCTTGTTCAATTTATTTATTTATTTTAATTTAGTTACACAGGTTTTAAAAGGCCTTATTACGTAATATTCTAAACTTACTTGTGAGGATGTTAGAAACTTTGTAATTCAATAAAATGTTGACAATGTAACAGAAGTGATACAAATCAGAAATGACTCAAAACAAGACATAAAAAGAAAACTATCCTATAGCATAGGATAATCTCTTGCACAACAAACTCATTATAATAATTAGCTACCTGCACAATTGATAGGTATCATGTAAATCTAAATAATCTATACATACATATATACAACAAAATGGTAACAAATAACTACTTAACTAATATAACTAAATAAAAAAAAGGGTAAAAATTAAAATTATGTATATTATACAAGCTTTATAAATAAAAATTTTTATCTAAATCGCTACCTTGGGGGAAGGAAATCTAAATTAATTAACTAGATAAGTATGCAGTTGCAAGTTTCTTATTTAAGTTGGAAAAAGAAAAGGCAAGCTTCAAACTTAAAGTTTGTAGGTATCTCAATATAGGTATTGAGAATTAATTAACAATACCGTGGCAGCCGAGGTTAAAACTTTGTACCGGATTTCGTTACCATGAATCGTGTAACTGACTTTTGTAAGTTATTTCTTTGTTTCTAGTTCTATGAACTCTGCTATGCGACTTTTCAGAAAATATTTAACCCATTCAATTCATAACTTTTGCTGAAGTAGGTACATGTTACCAGACACCAATTTTAATTTTAACCAGTCATTAATAGTTTTAATAGAAAATTTAATCCCATAGGAACTAGCGGTCATGGTCATGACATGGATGATTCGCGTTTCACGTGGTCGGCTCTGTAAAACAGGGCATAATGTATTTTTTTAAGATTCTAGCATGCAGGCTATACAGCAATCATCTACTAACTAATATTCCAGTAAAGATAAGATACAAATTAAATTATTTTCGACGGGGATCGAACTAGTTATCCATCGGCAATGCAACTCCCACACCATTGGACTATTGTCGCCTAAAATAGGTGCCTTTCAAGAGAATGCAAATATTGAGCGTCTATACCGATCATGACCTGATGGCCTGGCCACCCACGACAAATTAGGACTTCCCTCCATTGACTAGGTACCTATTATGACATCACCTCAATGAGTGCAATGACACGGCAATGAGACTCATTTATGAAAATAATGAATGATTTAAAATAAAATCGATAAGAATATTATCTTAATAAAAGTGTTTAACGATTGTTGTTGCTATAGCGGTATAAAACGTCCTTCAATTAACGGAAACAAAAGCAACGATTGTGTAACTGGGTTAGTAGGACCAGAGATGAAACCCCATATCAAAATTCAAACGCCCACCAATATGCGACCATAATTTTGGTGTGCAACAAAACGCAATACGATGCATTGATGCATCCTGGTGTACACACACAACCCGGTTATTTTCGGTAATACTCTAGCGCGAAGTAGGTCGCTGGCAAATGAGAAACCATAGATTGCAACATCACCGCGCGTATTTTTTTAAGAATACGCTATGATACATTTTGGCTATCACGTGGCGTAACGCGCGGTTTTAAATTTCATTAAAACAGAAATTAACTGATGGTTAATTTCAGTAAGAATTGTTACGTTTTAGTTGAATACCTAGGTAGGTAAATTTTTAATTAAATTAAAGATGAACTAAACAAGAATATTAATAAGCTAAGTTGATATCAGGTGTCATGGAGAAATCTCCATCAGTAAACAGCATCATGAGAAAGTTACCTACTTACTTAGTTTATAATAAAAAAAATATTTGCCTGTTTATTGCTTAATGAAAGTGAATGTTTAATAATAAAAAATCTTTTTAAATTACTTATCTTTGCGCATTGTATTAATAATAAAATTACTATGCTTTTGATTCTTATGGATGGAATACCTACCAACTAACTGGAAATGCTTACATCATCTGATAGGTATCTAAACTTTATCATAAACTAGAAAATATACAAGATTTTGTCAGCAACTCCACTTTCATAGATCTTGGCTTTCACAAAAATAATGTCCTCAATTTATTTTACTATAGCCGAGAGTTTCACACCTTTGAAATAAAACATTTTAAGCTTGATATTATACTGAATAGAAAATTAATTGTTGGCAACAATTTAACCTACTTATTATAGCTGTGTAAGGCTACTAGGATTTTCAGAATGTAAACAGATGCATTAATGCATTGTTAACAGATTCTAATAACAACATTGCACTATAATTAGGGTCATGATAGTTACAAAAAGATAGACAATTTAAAAAGTACTTAACAATCTTAGGCTAAGTTGCACCACCTAACTTTAACTGTAACTATAACAATAACCGGTGCTTTTTGTACCTACGTAATTTCACAGATTTTTATGTGGGTTAATGTTAAAGTATGATAGTGCAACCCAGCCTTAGTGATCTTTTTTACTAAGTATCTTATCGGAATCAGAAAAGACATTTCAGAAGTCTCCTTCATAAATTAACTATAATTTAAGTGGTTTCTAATGGTGTTGTCTACATCAAGTGTTCGGTCATTGACTTGAACGCTTTGATGAACACAGAAAACTGTAATATTTTACTATTTTAATCCTAAGACAAGGTACTAAGGTTCAAAATAAGGTGGGAACTATAGTTCTATATAGTATAGCCTTATAATGCTTAGGTCAAAAATTAGACTAAAATTATGACAACTACACACAAAACAATGTAGGTAAGTAACTGTGTAGTGTCAATATTAAACAACTTACATTAGTCTCTGTGAAAATTCATTTATTTATAATGAAGCAAATAGGTACTAACTTTGTGAATAAGTCAAGTGTTTCTTTGAGGTCCATTTAAATTTAACATAAATGGTATCATTATTATAGTTGAAAACAACAGCAGATAATATTGTGATAAAAGTAACTTTGCTCCATAATACTGCCATAAGTTCAGTACAGTGATGACTACGGCCCAATCGAAATAATAAACCTCATTATCGCTATTTGCTATGACTAAATTTAGTATTCTTTGGCTCATATCCAGTGATAGATCAGTAAACAAATAAATGATATAATCAACCAAAACATTTACCAAGTCTTCCGTATGGTCAACAGAGCTCTCGCAGGCCTCTTCCCGCTCACATCGGTCACAAGCGCAAAGCGATCACTGAAGCTCCTCTTCACTTCGGGTAAATTTGCCAGCTGGTCACCAGAAGATAACCGCAAAGACTTCCCTGTGATTACACCGTCCGATTTCTTAGATTTAAACTCCTCAGACTTATTCCTGATCACGGGCAGCGATACTCTTTTGTTTTGCTGCTTCTTCTTAGGCGATTTTCGACAAGAATCTGTCTCATCGCACTCCGCTATTGCTCGACCTTTGTTGTATTG